TCAGAGGGATGAGAATTTCACTCTATCCTGTTGGCAAACTGGGCCTTGTAGCCGGCGACTGGGCATATTAACCGGCGGATTTTGCTATGTAAAATTTTGTCCCAAGCTGACTTGGGCTTAATACACGGCTGGGCTTAGTAGCCGTGGGCTTAATAACCGGCGACTACTGTAGCATTTAATATTTCTTAAAGTCAAGGCCCTTACAACGGCGTGTCAAGTTAAAAAAATGCGCAGTCTCGGTACTCGCTTCTTTTTGAGATTTTCGCAAGACTACGCAGTTGCTCGTGTAGTAAGAGGACGCTCTGCCTGAAATAACCGTTCAATATTGCTTTTGAAAGTTCAAAAAGGGCATATTCGAAAGAAAATACGTCCTCCGCTCCGGAGGACCGACTGGCAGCGATGAAGACCCTCTGGAAAAAAGGCTAGTCGATTAGCGGGCGGAGATTTGGCGGCAAAGGAACTGACAACACTGCACTGTCCTCATTGACTTGATGGGAAGAGTTAAAAAAGTTTGGATCTAGTGTGCCATGCGTTTCGTCAGGAAACAACAAGCATCGGCGCTTCACTATCGCTGCCAATTTTCCTTCTTGGCGCAAATGCATCCGTGGGCGGAAATGAAGAGTTGAGAGATGAGGACGCTTTATTACAAAAATAGCATTCCAAAATTTTCAGGCTTTCTTTTGTGGGAGGGCGTCCACCAAGTAGGTTAAGGGACAAACTTCCCCGTCGGGATGAACTATGTATATGAGGATCCGCAATCTTGCAGATCTGTTCTGTGCGTTGATTGGCTAATTCGTCTAGATTACTTTTTAGTATATCATTGTAGATTGATTTATATTCTTTTATTTTTTTATGTATTTATTAAGAAAAGTTGTTGATTAATATATTATCACTCTTCCTATTATGTGTTATCATTTAACTGAATGGGGAAACACCCAACCATCTATTTGCACAAAATGCGACCGATACACCAATTAAAAACACCAACGCATTTTTCATACTATTTTATTGTTTGTGTTATTCCGTACGTGCATTGATTACTTCTTCGAGAAGCGTTCCCCTATCTTTACATTTTTAGTACTCTTTTATTGTCGATTGGTTTTATTTTTACTTAATTTCCTCTACTATTGCGTCCTTTATTGTTTGGATTTGAATCTTTAACGTTTGTATTTTGGCTAATTCATCTAGGCTACTTTTTATTATTTTTCTATTGTAGATTGATCGATATTCTTGTTTATTGTTATTCTTTTATTTACCGCTTTTGGTAGGGATGAGTATATAGGCGTATAACTGCCCGGTCCGACAGTGATCAGCGCCGCCACCGCTTACTCATTTCGACATCGGTCCGCATAGCACGCGTGACCAGTGCTGCATACACGCGTGACTCAACATTCGGCTTGCAACGCCCTGACGCAGATCGATTTTCTCCCTCCCCTGAGTTGCTGAACCGGCCTAGTAAGAACACTTGTTGCGACTACTTGCAGTGCTACATGTCTGCCTCAGTAAGGGCTTGCCATCTCACTGTCTTCTCGGCCTTCTAATTTGGAGCCGTCAGGTTGTCGATCACCGTACCTCGGCGCGCCCTCTCACCATAGTTAATATTTCCCACCACAACCGAGAGGGAAACGGGTTCGTGGCTCAATGGAAGAGTGTTGGACTTAGCACTCAAGGGCCAAAGAATCTGGGTTCAATTCAAAGGTCCGACAAGCCTTGAAATTGGATATGGCTGGCTGACCACGTCTAATAAGCCAGAAATGGTCATCCTCTCCTTCAAATTAAAATGTTTAACAACATTTCTGAAAAGAATAGTATTTAATTAGGGATACCCAGGATCAGAGCTTTGGTTTAGTCAAAATGAAGAT